TTTTGAAGAATGCAATTACAATCTCTGGATTGCACCCTTCGACTTCATTCATGATTTTTCAATATCGATGTACATACTCTCGCAAACTTTTGTTACCCTTCTTTTACAGCGTTAGTAGAGCACCAACATCCATTGGTTGTTTACTACTCGTGATGAATCAAGCTGTAAAATGCTCGGCTAACTGGGACCATCCGTTAATCGTTCCTTTTGGTAAGCTATCAAACCACTTCATGGTAGACTCCCCTAGACTGCTAGGGAAGATAGTGCAGAGTAGTGGCTCATTTCTTCGGTGGATGGTCATTAGTTGTCAGAAATGCCTGAAATATGAGGTTGTGTCGGTCTTTTTGTCGTACAACTTGAAGTTCAAAATGACAAACTTACTCAGGATTCGTGCCTTTTCCACCCAGGCAGTGAATGGGGATGACTCCAAACCGTTTTCGTACTCTCCTGTTGCTTTTTTGGCTAGGTCCCTTGCCAACCTCTGCTCTATTCTCTTCAAGCGAATGTTGAGCTCTTCGTTGATATACTGCTTCCACGTGTCCTTCTCCTGGTTCAGAGGCTTCTGCTGATGGTAACCTTTCTCATCGGCAGTTTTAATCTTGCAAGGCTTCCTTCTCGGACTTTCTTGTCGATCTTCTCTCACCCGCTTTTTTCTTCTCGTCACCTCTTTCAACTTGGATTTTAACTCTTCGTTTTCTTTGATCAGATTTTTCTCCCTAGCGTAGGACTTTTTGAATAGCTTGTCATGAACATTAAGTCGATCCTGCAGGGACTGGACCAACTTTGCCAAGGAGTGGTTCTCCCCCTCGGCACGGAGGGATTTACCATGATCCTCGCTTTGCTGGTTCTGGTTTTTCGAGGGCTTGAAACTTGTAGAGGACATCTCATCACCTTCATGGGTCCTGGAGGGCTTCTGGCTGCATGCAACCTTGCGTCGTTGTCATAAGGAAGAGACGCAGGATCAGAGTTCCCTAAGGTAAAACTGTCTATGGTTGATCCAATTACGCTTCTGAGCCTTGACATCGTAGCTTTTTGTTCTGAAAGATGAAGATCTTTTCTACAGACGATGCCAAAAATTTAGAGGCAAAAAATTTGTAATACCTCTAACAGTGAATTTGTGATGCGATTTCTGGAAAAGAATCCTGAGTTGTCTTCTAATTTTTTCCCTACAAAATGAACAAACTGCCCAAGATCGAAGTGCTTCGATCGAAGGCACTCCGATGCTTAAGTCAGTAATGGAACAAGAAGAATTGTGTGAAGACCAGGAAAGTTCGGCGTACTTTTCTTCTTGGCTCCTTTTGCTTTTTATAGGTGGTCATCCCCTTAAGATTTCCGTGATTCTTGATTCAAGATGGCACACCATCCTTAGATTCAGTCATTCAGTTTAGGAAGTTGCTGATATTTCTCCATTATTTTCTCCTGATATCTTCAATTTCTCTAATTCGTTTATCTGATTGCCTAAATTATAGGCAAATATTTATCTTTTTGTTTATCATTTGAAACAGCTCTGTCATATCGAACACCGAGCACACTTGACGTTTGCCTAACAGATTAAGGGGTTTGGTTTGGTACAAAATGATCTCTTCAATTGTCTTGCCAAACACTTTAACGGACTCGACTTGGTACAAGCCGAGCTCTTTCTTTACTTAGCTGGACAAACTAATGAGTTCGGTCATCAAGAGAACCTAACTCGTTCTTTGTTTGTCAAATGAACTGCTTTGTTCGGCTCGGTCCTCAAGACTGGGTGAATATCCTTGTCACATGATTGGTCTTGTCAAGTTTACATGATCTTATTTAATGTTGTACCACGTGCCATCATGAGGGCTAACCCCTTCAATAATTTAATTGCTCCTTGAAACCTTATTCATGGGTCCCACAACCAACGGTGGATTGATAATATTTGGGGAAAAAATTAAGAAAGTGACGGTGTGAGGATGTAGATGTTACTGAAATCATTGTAGGGTAATTTGGAAGCTGGTACAAAAATTTAGATTTATTTAAGCTAAACTACATTAAGGAAACTTATTTGACCATAAATGCAATTTTAAAAAAAAAGACTAAAATGGTATTTATTACTTCGTTACTCTCTCTCTTTTTCTCTCTATCTATTTCTCATAAAAAAAATTTAAATATGTAAAGATTTAATTTAATTTCTTATCTCTCTCCACCTATTTTTTCTTTCTCTCACTCCTTCTCCCTTTATTTCATTATTCTCTCCCTTTTTCTCTCTCTTTATATCTACGTTACACAACACAATTACACTAATCGGTTACACCAATTAGTTATAAATATCCTATAATACACTAAACAGTTATTCATGTGTTCTAATAAACCAAATAATTATACTAAACAATTATATGAAATTACAACATCAACTCAACTTGTCATTTAGCTATTTACATAAATCAAAGAGTTACATTATTTAGTATCACGACATTGTTATATCAATTATATACATCAAATTGGGTTTATCATTATACTAAATTTGGTAAATATGATTGGTGTAACGATGTCGCGATACTAAATAGTGCAACTATTTAGTTTATGTAAATAACGAAATGACAAATTTGGTTGGTGTTATAAATATGTGTAATTGTTTGATGTAACTGTTTAGTTTATTTGAATGCATGAATAACTGTTTTTGTGTATTATAAGACAATTATAACTAATTGGTGTAACTGATTAGTATAATTGTGTTGTTATAATGTTGAGAGAGAGAGAGAAAATATGAGAGAGAGATAAAAAAAATAAATCAAATCTTTACATATTTAAAAAAAAATAAATTATCAATGTTAGATATTGAGAGAAAATAAGGGAGAGATGGGAAAAGTAATGGGGAAAGAGAGACAGATGGAGAAAAAATAGGGAAGAGATAGTGAGAGAATCTAATGAAATATTTATATATTTGATTAGATATATAACTACCAATCAATAATGCATAATTTAATGGAAGGTATTTAGGTAAAACAATTTTGATTTTATTTAAATTTTATATTTAAACACAATATATTTTATTGAAATTGAACTTAATAAAATAAATAATTTATCTATACACTTTTTCTCCAATAAATTTAAAAAATTGTGTGCACAGCCAAAAAAATCCATCATTGTAAATAGGATAGGGAGTGACTTTTTGCTCAGAAGCACCAACAAATGTTGGGTCCAGTAGAGGCAATAATGAGCCCATCATTTCAAATCCAATTTCTTGGTGGGCACAAATTGATTGATTCTGATCTTTGGTGCATTTGAAATCACTTATTTCAACCGCTACAGATGAAATAAGCAAAAGCCATTGCTGGCAGATTCAATAATTGTAGAGCCATATAGGATGATTTTTCAAAGCATTTTGACCAGTTTCACACTTTGGAACAGCACCCACTTGTTGGCCAAAAGGAAAAAAATATAACCTCAACGGGTATCTCAAGTAAGAATCCAGATGGATTGTAAATTTAGTCGTTCTAAATTTGAATATTGACAATTTTTTTAGGTCAGGTCATAAAAGATTTATCTCTCATAAATATCCTAATCCCGACATAGATGGTCTGTCTTTAACCAGACCAGAGAGGAGATTAATCGAAATACACGTAAGCTGACCAAAACACCCCTGTCCATTGAATAAAAAAAAAATGTAAATATGGTATAATATTTGGCATTCCAAATTCAAAACACTATAAATGTTAAACCACACCGGCCTAGTTGACCATCCTAAATTAACTTCTAAGCCAAAAGATCCAAAGGTCAATTATTTTATGGACACATAAAAATTAATCTTTCTTAGGGGTTATATACTCCGTCTCTTGCGGGTTTTCTCTCACTTTGGATGTTTGTTGTGATCCTAATTCATTGCAACTAGATCATAGCTCAAAACATGCCAATTTCGATATAACTTGGTTGAGTTTGTATCTAAGAATCTTACAATTTAACACTGTTTCATGTTTCATGTAAACCGCAAGCTTCACTTGACTCGAATGCATTCTTTAAGACGTTTTCGAGTCAATCCAACTTGCTGAAATTATCATCACGACATCAATTGATACTGCTATACAATATCGCCATATAACTCAAAAATCTCTTATCATGTTAAACTTCTTATTATTTTTACATGCCGCTCAATTCCTTTTCGCAACATCATGATCAATGCATCCTATGCCTTTTACCGTTACATAAAACAAAAACACAAAGAAGGTTGGCAAAACAATTTGCAGAAGATTATGGAATAAACTTTGTATTTTAAAATGAGGTTTTCTTGTCATTAATTGGACAAGTAGTTTTGCTTATTATAAGTGGGCAAGTTCGATGACCTTATAAGAAGGGAATTCAGATCGAACTACGTCGTTTTCACAAAATACCACTTTATTTAAATAGTCCTGTCTGCTTTCCGAAAAAGCATTTAAAAAAAAAAAAAGAAGAAGCCGCGTCCGACCAAGAGAAAAATAATAATTTAAAGGGACGCGGTTTTGTTCATGGAGTACTAGGTAATTTATTAGATAGATAGATAGATAGATTATATTAACGATTTGTCCGTTAAACAAGTGAAACGGACCTTGTACCTTCTCCTATGTATGAAATCTCTTTTGCCAATTGAGGAAAAAAATAATATTATTTAGATTCAATGTGTTCACCCAATTTAATGACCCGATTCATCACTACTATCGAATTGCTTATGCATTTCAAATAATATTGTGGTTAATTGTCAACAAATTAAATTATCAAATTATGTCTAAATAGAATTCTTATGAAAATAAAACTCCAAAATATTTGCTCGTTCTATTATTCATCTCTCTTTACAATTTATACAGGCTTAAAAAATTAATTTAAAAATTTGACTTGATGATATAACTGTTATATTTGTTATTGATTTAACTTATGAGTCTCAGTATTAATTGAGACACACTACTTATTCAATGATAGTGATTCATCAAATTAAATTTTTAAATCAATTTGATATTTTCCCTTCACACCTACAGATTGAAGAAAAACCAAAAAAAGTTACAAAACTTTTAACTCAAAAGCTCCATTCTGCAACAAGGGCAATGCGCATTATTCTCCAGCCATGGCTCCAAACACCTTGAATGGAACCTATGAGCGCAAGGCAGGTGCACCAGGGTCTCACCCACCTTGAACTGGTCCAAGCACACGGCACACTCCTCTGGCTCCAAGCCTTTCCCTCCTAACTTTGCCCAACTTAACCTCTTTAACCCACTTTTCTTCAACCCAAACACCTCTGTCTGCAAATCCCTAAGCACCATAGATCTGCCATCTATACCCTTCAATTTTTCTTGGGTGGTGCTAGTCTTAGTCCTGTTCTCTATTTCCTTACCCCTCAATCTTTCTTGGTTGCTAGGGCTATTCCTGCCCCCCATGATCCTTAATCTTTCTTGGCACCTGAATTCAATCATGGAAAATGAGAAGCAATAAATAAGTTGATAAAAATGAGACATCTAGGTGTTCATTAATCAAGTTCTTTATCATTTAATCAAGAGTGACCAACATGTACCATTTGGGTAGTTTAATAAATTTTATTTTTTTGAAAAAGAAAAGATATGCAACGTAGTTCAAAACGCAGACGATAATGCTACCATAAACAGTTGACAATACCTTTTGGTTTCTGATTTCCGCTGTGCTCTTAGCCTCTCATCCAACCTCTCTTTGGCTTCTCTTGCCACTTTACCTAGGTTCTCATTCTCATATTCCTGATTCACCATGCTTCTTTGCTGTTTTTAAGACCCAAACAGATTAGCATCACACCCCACAAAATATAGTCCAAGTCTCATACACAGACATATATAAACATGTATTAACGCACATACATGTATGTATGGAGAGTGAGAGAGAGAGAGAGAGAGAGTGGTTTGAAATGGTACCATGGAAGAAGAAGAAGAGGTGATGAGCTGGGATTCATGGCTGCTTGTATACAAGCAAAAAGACGAGCGCCTTGTAAACCCAGAACCAGAGGCACTGGGTGAATCTGCCCCCCCAACTGTATAATGAATCCGTCTTCTTCGAGCACATTCAACACCGGGAAGCGTGCCGGTCATTTTAAAAACTCCAAAAAGGAAAGGACAAGAACAAAATCACTTGCTATGAATCTTCCCAAGGTTTTTGACAGTTATAAATTTGTACGAACATACAGCTCCTATATATAATCAACCGTTATAATTCTTGACTTCCTCTTGTAGGCCTGCCTGAGATAAAGAAAGAAACAATATTAAAGAACAGAAGAGTACCCATATGGACCAGCAACGGGAAGAATAAAGTTGGTTCACAGAAGTTTCATGGAAAACTCACAGAAGTTTCATGGAGCATTTGAATCATTTAAAAAATTGAGAGAAAAAAACTCACTGGGAAGTTTCATGGAAGCTTGTATCTTATAAAATATTGAGAGAAAAGAGGTATGCACCTATCGGAGGTATTGGCAGACAAAGAGGGACCCATATAACCATGTATGATTGCAAATACGCCTTTCTTCCATCATCTTCACCATCCCATCGATCCAAGATTTTTTTTAAGAATTTAATAATATAATTTCAATTTAATTATTAATTTAATTGTGAGTTCTAATATTAAATGAAGCTCACAATTAATTCAATGATTGTACATTATTATATTTCTAAATAAAGTCTCCAAATAAGATTCAAATAACATTTTCCTTATCATAAATGTCACTTTCTCAAAAACAAATTTCACTTTAACTGTGATATTACATCAGTATTAATAATATGATATCATCAATTAATAATATGTACAAACTAATGTTATTAGATTTAATTTATTTACCTAATTTATTGACCTCATAAAATATTGATTGTGGGACTCATCAAACATTAGAATTTTGTGTTTATTCAATAATTTTATTAAAGTTATATCATTATATCAACAAATTATGTCAAATTTTTATATCCTAATAAGATTACGCAATAGAACATGTAAATAAATAAAAAATAAACCCACGTAAACTAATAACTACATATCCATGTAAGTTAAAAATTATTAATTCTTTTTCTATGTAAGCTGATAACTATTTAAATAGAGTTCACTTTGACTATTTAAAATTTTATTATTAGTCGATTGTATCATATCATCATTCAATAGTGACGTGATATCATTGCAGGGAGTATTCTTTTTGAAGCAAAATATTAGATGAGAATACTATACAAAAGAAATTAAATTTGGATTAAATTTCATTCCCACCCCCTGAATATAAGGTAAATTTTACTGGCATTTCACAAACTACCCCTACCATATATAATGTTACTGTAAGCAACAAAAATTGTAATGTGTTGACTTATACTCTTGTGAGTTACCAATTTTACCCCTAACCATATAACTCTTACTACTTAAAGCAATAGACAGTAGCCCACATTAATTTGTAATTGAATTAAAATGAATGTTAATTTGATGCAATTAAATATTAATTTAATGCTAATTTTAAAAATAATATTAATCTGATAAAATTAAATATTAAATTCATAATTGAATGTTAATTTGATGCAATTAAAGAAATGATATTAATTTAGTAAAATTAATTGTTCAATTCATGAAATTAAATATTAATTTTAAAAAATTAAATGACAATTTAGTATTGATTGATGCAAATGAAGGTTAATTTGGGATTAAATTAAGGAAATGATGCTAATTTAATAAATTGAATGTTAATGTGTTAGAATTAAAGGTTAATTTGGTGTTAATTTGATAGAATTGATTATCTATTTTAAGAGATTGAAAGTTAACTTGATGAAATAAAATGGTAATTTGATAAAATTTAAGATCAATTTCATGTTAATTTTGTGAAATTGATAAAATTGAATGTTAAATTGATAACTAATTTAGTATTAATTTGATGAAGTTTAACGGGGATTTAATAAAGTTGAATGCCAATTTGCTATTAATATTTAATTAATAATTTGGTACTTGTTTAATAAAATTGAATATTAATTGGATGAATTGAAACTAATTTGATGAATGTGAATATTAATTTCAAAAAATATATGGTTAACTTGGTGCTTATTTGATGGAATTGTGGTGGTGGCCAATAACTTTATTGTTGTGGTGTGCTCATAGTTGGTAATGGAGGCGGGCATAACTAAAGGAAAGGGAGAGGAGGGGAGAGATAAAATAGGGGTGGTGAGTTGCTGGTGTGGGGAATTGGGTAAGCTTTAGTAATTCGCGCTCGCGCGCACACACATATATATATAATATAAGTAAAGGTTAAAAATGTAAAACGATAAGATCAGGGTAATTTCATAAAAGGCCACTTTCGTCCATTTACCATAACTTAGTTCCCCGACAATTATTGATAAAGGGCGTCAGTGATATTTAAAAAAATGCACGGGGTGTTTATAAAATTAAGCAGTGTTATTAAAATTTGCCCTATTATAAAAGTTATTATTATTAACCATGAAGTTATACTTTTTAATAGATAAAATATTATATTCGTTATCGATTACAATATTTTACTCAGAGCTGGCCCAACAGTATTGAAAATAAAATATAGGTTTTAGGTCCCATAATTTTAGGTACATTACTAGTTCACAAAAAATTTAAATCTATTAAATTTTAAGACCCTAAAAAATGAAAATTTGTGAGGAGATACCTTTTACACTATTTTATTGTGAGAAAATATATTGACTAAAATCTTTTGTAAATAAATGCACTTGACTTGAAATGTATTGTATTTAAGTACAAATTGACAATTTTTTAAAATTTTCCTTTATTAAAATTCTCATTTCCATATTTATTGGGCTATTTAGATTGGCAGTCCGATTTTTTATGGGATTTAATTTATTATATTAAGAATTTCTAATTTTAATGAGATAGTAAATTAAAATTTTAAACTACATCTTCGTCTTCATTGTTCATCAGGCAAAAATATTATCATATTGATTCATTGTCTGATCTTTTTCTTTACCAATCAGTAAATTGAATTAAGATATTGTTACAAACATTGTTCAGGAACATCTGCAACGGATCGTTAACATTAGACATCAAATCACATCGGATTTGGGTTCATATTATCGTTTATAATGCAACTCCATGTTGAAATTTATTTTTTTATATTGTATTTTAATGTTAAACGACACTAGTTGTTTTCAAATCTTGCAACAATGTCACTTTACAATGTACATTGTAATGTAACACTATCATTCATTATAAGTAATATATATATATATATATATATATATATATATATATATATATATATATATATATTACATTTGTGATATCATATTGTGTAATACATACCATTTAGATTGGGTATAAATCAGTGAATATAATTTTACATTTTTTTGTTAATGATTAAAATATTAATGAGGGTGTTACACTGTCATATATCACTGTAATGTCACATTATCAACAAGTTAAATTAGAATAGAAGAAAGATTTGTCATTAATGGTGCTTCAACATCTATTATGTCACTTCACTGGTGAACGACTCAACTTCTTCAAAATTTTTGGATGCTTGTGTTTGTTTTTTTTTTGATTGAAAATTGAAAATAATTTTTTTTCTTTTTTTTTTATAAATTTGAATGCCCATGTTTTGAGGGATCAATTAACGAATTTAATGGGATTGTTGCATTAACTTCTAGTGGTTTCCTTACCCACTTTTTGTGTCAAGTAATTATTACCTTGTGGACATTTTTGTCATTTAAAAAAACACTTTTATATAAAATATTTTATATTGAGTACTTTTTTATAATTAAGTGGTAAATTTAGTACCACCTTACAAAAAAAAGTCCCAAAATATTAAGTCCAATCAAAAATTTTATTGAAATAATTTGGACCAATGATCCAAGCCATAAAAAAAGTAAAAAATTGAAATAAAAGTTAAAATTAAATTCTCTCTCTCTCCGATAAAAAGTAAAAACAAAAGTTAAAATCTCTCTCTCGGCAATACTAATACATCTTTCCTTCTTCTGTCTCTCTCACATACAAAATTAAAATTATATTAATCTTTTTTTTAAAATAATACTAAAAAAATTCTCAATTAGTGTTTCTACTTAAAACCTCAAATGGCTATGCGCCGCACTTAATTTTGTGGTTAGCGTTAATAACGTAATCAATCAAGAAATATTATAAGTGATTATGTACAATGTCAATCAATTGTAACTTAAGCTTTAGGAAACATAAAAAATATATACGATGTTTAGAATATTTTGTGATCCCTCGCAACGTCTTACTTTTGACTTACACTTTAAAAGATTGTGACGTAATTTTATGAACAACACCTACTACTCCGATATGGTAGTCGTTATCGAGTATAATAGTAGAGTTGAATTAAGGAAGGAAGGGAGAAGGATAACGGTAGGAAGGCCACAAGAAGCTTCACGGAAACTAACTACATGGCTGCACAAATTAAACAATGGGTAAGACTGGACCGGACTACCCGCATGCATACAAGGTAAGTCACGTGACTAACCATGCATGTGTGTCTTTGTCAAATGCAAATGGATGTTAGTAGTTAGCCATATGAACGGATTTGATTTGGGTCCATCTTAATTCAAATTCGATTAAAAAATTTATTACCAAATTCAATCTGTTTATCAGACGGATAAAAAAATATTAATTCATATCTGAATCCATTTATAATCGGACCTCCTTTCTGATTACCCAATCCGATTTATAATGGTATTCCACCAAAATTTTAACAAATAATCTTTTTTTAGATCAAATACAAATAATCAATTATATACCCAATTAGTCAAGGAAGTTTTTCTGATAGTATACCGCTAGAAATCTCTGGTACTTTCAACTTTATGATTGTATTTCAGGTTAATTACAACATTCTTATGCACTCATTTCACATGTTAGGCGTGTTTATGTAATAATATATATATACACGTATTAACCAAATGAAATTTCTATCGAATTAAATTTGTATATATCCATACCCACATTCAATTTAAGACATTTAAATGGATTCGGAACGGATTTAGATAAATGAATGAAAAAATATTGGTTCATATTAGATTAAATAAATTCGAATTCATACTGAAATGCGGTTCACTAAAAGGCCTAGATGTTAGTCACACATATTGTG